AGCCCATTGTGTAGCGTTGTGCTTAATCACAAACAATCAAAATATTATTTTTTCGTTATAGATAACAATACTAAATTCACATACACAAAATAATTTGATTAATATTAATGTTAGTTATACGTTTAAATACATCAATGACTGTATTCTTTTTTAAACCTAATTTAGTATGAAATTTATAATAAAATTTAAATAAAAAAGCAGAAAATAACCCATACGTAAGATCCATCACCACTGATTGGTTCGTTCAACTTTGGGCCTGGATATTAGCAAGTGAAAACTAAACCTTCGATGCTGCAGAAATACAACGGTGGCAGTCTTGAATTAGAGATTAAAAGAGGAAAGTTCACCCTTCGTTTTAATAACGTAGGTATAGCTGCAAATAGTTTATCAGTAGGGATATAGGTCTTCCTAGTTTTAATTTAAGGTATGTTGAATTATTTGATTACGTTATAGTCTCTAATTTAAGAGGTTTACTTTGTTTAGAAAAATAGTCTCTCTTGATAATTAATAACGTAGTAGAATGAATCGACAAATACGATGGCTTATATTGTTATTACATAATATTAATAGTAATACTGATAGTATACTACTAATACTATTGTATTACTGTTAGTGTTATGTGTTACTGTTATTGATAAGTAATTATTAATACCACAAGAAGAAGCTGGTTCTAGTATTACAACTTATGCATAAACTATAATAATTTAATATTAATTATTTCAATATTTGTAGTATCACTATTAACAATAATTTAAATTACTATAAAGTATAATAATTAAAGTCTAAATTATAAGTAGGACATGTCTTCTACTTCAGTTCTTGTGTATATAATCTAAAAAAGTTTTATAAGAATACTTTTGTTTTGAAACTTGTGATAAAACTATTAAAATAAAAGTTAATTTTTGTAGTTCCAGTGACTTGAAGGCAAAAATTCAAATAGTGTAGTACTAGTATTTCGAAGTAAAATAACAATATGTATTGTATAATATAATTAATTAATGAAGCATGATGGTATTTTACATTACATGCAAGTTCCAGATAGCATCATCTGTATTTATGGATTCCAAACCCTTGCAATCCAAAAATGCCCCTCTTGAAAACATGTCAAAAACAAATTTAAACCTATCTCTATCTATACAATAACCTTTCTAATCCTGTAATCACATAGCTACTGTATTCCCTCAACCCTCTCCAACAACTCTGTTCTTTCTTAAGTAAGTTGACCAAACCTTAATATGATTTCTGTTACATCTAACCAGAAATCCAGAGTAAAATGATGACCCCTTTGAACATGTAATCAATATCTGGGTATGTAACCTAAAATTGTCTTATTAATTGCTAATGCAGGTCATCTGGAAAGCTTCAGAAGCTTTGTAATACTAATAGATGCCCAGAATTTTTCCTTGTTAACTTTAACTAGAGCTTCCCCTGCAAGGCTCTAAGAAATAATGTTTTGATAATCAATATAAATAAACTTTTTAAATTTATTGCGATTAAAAGGCATGTGCCAGGTATTATTCCAATTCACCAATTAATCCAATTTTCTGCAAATATTCAACATATTTAATGCAACTTGAAATGCCCTTATAACTTTGTCTGTGGATTTAATCAGTTTGCTAATTATTCCTTTATCAATTTCATTAATGAAAATTAGAAGTAGGACAGGATCTACTAGGCACAGAACCATTTGCAACATTAATCCATTAATATTTTGTCCCATTTTAAAATTATTTCTTACTAACAAGCTATTTCTCAATCTATTGAACTAGCTTATCCCCCCTGCCTCAATAGGTGCGATCTTCCTAAGAAGCCTTTATAAAATCTTCAAAGTACTGTATACCAAATTCACAGCATTACCCATCTCCAGATTAAATGTGATATATTCAAAGAAAAGTGAGCAGATTTGTAGGACATGACTTCCCTGTCTTAAGCTATGTTATCTGTGATGCTATGAAACCTCTAAAGTATTCTTGTAGAATTTCTTTAACAGTATGTTAGTAATATTCTAACCAATAGAGTAACTCGTATTATAACCAGTAATTACTTGGGCATTGTTTAATTAACCACATATTCCAACACCTCATTATTTGTTATGTGGCTAGTAAAAGTTTAGACCCACAAGTCTTATTTGTCTGAGTAATTATCCTTGAATAAATATCTTGCCCTTTTGCCTTATTTTGTTTGACTTTCCCAGTCTAGATTCTTATCAGCTCTGATTTAATTCTAATTTTATTCAAGGGCACTATGTAATTTTTTCAGATAGAACAGATAGTAGAATCCACCCTAAATCATCACTAGTAAAAACTGATAATAAAAAGTGTATTTAGATACTTCTACAACATGTAACAAGACTGAAATTTCATTAGAAAGACTAGTTAATTTAACTGAAGAGTAGCTGGATGAAAGAAAACATTTGCTGATAGTCTAGTCACCTTTGTTACTATTGTTGTGCTTCTTGGGGTCAGTGGAGCTTGGGCTGTGTATTTTTCTTAATTATTTAAGTGACATTGATAGGAGCATAATAAGTTAAAGTTTGAGTGATATTAAACTTTTGAATATTTCTGTGTATATATTGAGGATGTTGAGTTACTACAGTGCATCTTTGATCAATTTGTCAGTTGGACAAATGCTTGTTATAACTTGAATTAAATGTTAAATATACATATGGGAACCCAATCACTTTGACCTAAAGAAAAGGATATTGACATAGTGGTGGATAAGTTGCTCAAGTCATCAAAGTATTGCTCTTTCTAACAGTAAAGCTTATAGACTGTTAGGGTTTACATAGTGATTGCAAGTCAAAAGGTAATTGCCATTTACACAAATCTTGAATATTTTGTACAGTTTTGGTCTTCGTAGTCTATGAAAGGATATTGACTTGTTGGTACTTTTGATAATTAGCAGCATTAGTGATGATTAATAGATTTCAGTGCTACATTTATGTACAACTTAATCAATTAACTGTGAAACTGCTTAATGTTTTGTAAACTTACAAACAATGGTGGCTAGACTGATAATAGATTTAAGACTAATATTGTGTAACTTCAAAATGGTTAGAGGTAGTTCAGAATGTTATGGGTGCCAGGATTGAGTTATGCTTCAAAAGTGTAAGTTTAATTTGTAATTTTCAGAAGATTCTGAAGATATCCTGCACTTTCAGTTTACCTGCTTGAGGATAAGTCAAGAGAACTATGGGGCAGATTGTGCTGTTAGTAGTAAAATAGTAGATTAGAATTAGAAATATCATAGGAAATGAATGTGGTAAAAGTTGAATTGGATGAGTGTATTGAAGTAAAAGTTATGGTTATACAAAAACAGATTGTTAGTATTGAGGTATTAGTGTAATAAAGTTAAATCTTCATCTGCTTATAATAAGGAAGATGATCAAGAGATTTACATTGTGAGAGGTTACCTCTCAATTTTTGAAAAAAAATTTATATAAACAGTCATGCATCCTTACACTACTATACAATATTTAAAAAAAAAGGTGTTTTTATTTGATTAGGCTATAAATCAACATAGCTGCAGTTTAAAGCAATCCATTTAGGCCTCAGCCTATAAATAATTCTCTTAAGCTAATACAACAATATGAATCTTAGTTAAATGTTCCATGGTAGATTTTTATAGCTTTCATTTTTCCAGCCACTAACTATGTATTTAGATATTGAAGACTTGTTTTCATCAAAGTTAGTATTGTTTAGGGACCTCCAGGTCTTATAATAGATTTGTTACAAAATTGATTTTGCATTGTTTGAAAATTTAAAATTATTGCAAGAAATATATTTTTCTTGTTTGTGTCTACAAATAAGAGAAAATGCAAGTTATGACTCTATAAATAACTTCAACATAAATAAAAGTGGGCATCTTATTTACGAGTATTATAATTTTCTTTCTGAATATAATTATAAATATTTAATTTTAATTTTACAAAATTGAAATGTTTGTTGTTAACTAAGTTCATTTTCATATCAGTCACATTACTAGAAATATAAGCTTTGAAACTGCTGGATTACAAGCATTGTTCATTTATGGAATGTTATTTTAACTTTGATTATGTAGGTTACTTTGGATTATATGGTCAACAACTGATTAATCCAAAATAGAATATTATTGTGGAAATCTCTCATGTTTAGCACAAAGATGCGTAACAGGCTATATGTACTATGTCCACTATGAATAACAGACTTGCTGTTGACCCACTGGAGGACCTTTTTATGTCAAAAATACTGAATTTAGTTAATGTTATACAGTTAACTTTAAAAAAAAAAAAAGTTAACTATTGTAAAAATGAAACGTTACTTTCTAAGTTAGACTTTAAATCTAGAGTACTTGAAAAATATCCAAAAATATTTGGTTACAAAACTTCTGAGTAACAGTGTAGTTACAAATAACACTTGAGGCCACAACATTATCATAAACTAGGGGTTCTAGATTCCATTTAACTCGTTCAGAATGGGCTCGGTCCCTTGGATCAACCTCATAACCATTTTGTGCTTGTTATAGTTTTCGTGTTGTAACTTTTAAATTAGTAAGTGTGTGTTAATGAAATTTGGCAGATTATCAGTAATCATTATAATGCTTTCATATAAATATCAATTTTTTTTTTT